GCAGTCCACTCACCTCAGCCTCCCAAAGTGCGGGATTACAGACTGAGCCACTGAGCCCGGCTCCGGCTAATTTTTTATTTATTTTAGAGACAAGGTCTCGCTAAGTTGCCCAGACTGGTCTCGAACCTGTGAGCTCAGGCAGTCCTCACACCTCCGCCTGCCAAAGCGCAGGATTACAGGCTGAGCCATGGAGCCCGGCGGGCTATAACTTTTATTCTTGTGGGTGTTGTGGAGTGGGCTTGGGGTGGGCTTTTCCTAGAAATGGGTGGTGTTAGGGCTAGTCCTCCCTCATGTCGGTGGGTGGAGTGCAGTCCTTATAGGGTCATACCTTTACTGTCAAGGCACCCTGGCGATGGAGATTTTGTAAAACCGCAATGCTAATGATATTATAATAAGCATGTAATGAAGTTTGTAAAAGGAGGTCATGGCTATCTTGGGTCTAGCCTTGGCTAATGATAGGTGTGCTCTAAGGGTCTTTCAGCTGGTCCCTGCCTTGATGGTCAGCTCTCCATAGGCTACAGTGCTGCAGGTGTATCTGATTAGAATCTATCCTGTAGGTATGGAATTTCTTGTAGCTAGGCTGCCTGCTTCTATGCATGGTTTTTCAACAGCCACTGCAGCTTCAGTGAGCTTGGAACTTTCTTATACGGTCCTGAAGTTTGCCTATCCTGCCTTCTCTATCAGTGTCAGAAGGCTTTTCTGTAATCCTGGACTTTGATATGTGAAAGAGGTTTTAGAGAGTAAGCATTTATGGACTGCCCACTGTATATCAAAAGTAATCTGGATACTAGGCAGATATCGAGATAAACAAGGCACAGCCCGTCACATCAGATGGCTCGCCTATAGAGATTGGCGATATGAGCAGAGGATGATTATAGAGACTTGTGTGATCAAGGGCGCAGGGCTATTGGGAGGCCTGAAGCTGAGCAGCCAATCTGAGGAGAAGGATTCTGGGAAGACTTTCCCAATGGGGAGACCCCAGGACCCTCCAGGAAGAGGAGATGCCAGTGGTGAAGACAGGGACCTGGAGGGCAGGAAGCCTGATTCCAGCGGCCTTGGATGTATGGGTAGAGTGGTGGGGAGCTTGGGAGGGGAAGCGCCGAGAGTTTCTCAGGAGCTGGAGCTGGCCCTGCTGTTTTGGATGGAAGACACTCAGTAAATGCAGCCCCAGGAAGCAGCTGGCAAGGGAGGCCGGCTGGAGTGACTTTGCGAATTGGCCTTGGAGGATAGCCAGGCTATTTGGTGATACAGGGAGGAAAAGTACCAGAAAGAAATATATGAAAATATCAACAGCAGGGTTATTTCTGGATGGAGGGATCAGGTGCTTCTTTGAAAACAAAACAAAACAAAATCCTATATGTACATGATCAGCCCTGGTGAAAAAAATGAATGAACTGTGTTTAGAGAATACTTTGAAAGAAGGAAGACATGGGTGGTGCATGTCTATTAGGAAGCTGTCATCCCAGAAGGGGCCTGGTCTTTGAGAGAGATTTGAAACAGAATCTGTAGGACAGTGGGAGTTAAGGCCTGACTGGAGATTTCACAAAATCCAAAGTGTTCCTTTCCATACCTCCCGTGCAGCCTCAACTGCTAAGAATGGGCCAGAAGTTTACGTTCAATTTGTTTATATCCTGGTTTCACAACTTTGTGAATGTCCTTAATGCCACTGAACTGTACTCTTAAAATTGGGTAAGCCGAGCTCGGTGGCTCAGCCTGTAATCCTGCGTCTTTGGGAGCCTGGGGTGAGTGGATTGCCTGAGCCCGTGGGTTCAAGACCCGCCTGGTCAGCAAGACCTCATCTCTACAATAATCAAAAAATCAGCCGGGCATGGTAGCGCATGCCTGTAATTCCATCTACTTGGAAGGCTGAGGCGGAAGGATCGCCGGAGCCCAGCAGGTCGAGGCTGCGGTGGCTGGGAGCGGCCACTGCACTCCAGTCTGGGCAACAGAGTGAGACTCCAACTCAAAAAAAAAAAAAAAAAAAAAAATTGGGTAAGATGGTAAATTTTATGTCACATATCTTACCGTAATAAAAAATGGCTGAGAAATGTTTATACTCTTTGATTCAGTAATTTCACTTCTGGCCATCTATTCTAAGGAAATAATGATAGAGATTTGGCCAAAAATGCGTATACACACTTTTTCCTCAAAGTGTAAACACAGGCCGGGCTTGGTGGCTCAGCCTGTAATCCCAGCACTTTGGGAGGCCAAGGTGAGTGGATTGCCTGAGCCCGCGGGTTCGAGACCCGCCTG